CTGGCCTCACGCTGATCGGCAAATCACCTGTGCCAGAAACATGGACACGGACATGCAGCGAGCATAAACAAACAATAACACTTCCCCTCTTAAATAGGCCTACATGCAATTTTTTAAGTGTTTTCGTAATTGGCTGAAATCTATCTTTGAAGTTGTGTAGGTCTGTTATAACCAGGTTTATGGAGATTTAGATTTAGTCATATAAGATGATACATAAAAGGCATAGAATGTGGATCAAATGTATACAGGCATCAATATCTGCAATATGTAGCCTATAGCTTAAAATAATGGATTTGTTTTGTGTGTATTTTTTTTTTTATCTTTAAACTCTAGTATGTTAGAAAAATATATTTTAAATACAAGGGACTATGCTGCCATCTAGAGGTGGAAACGGATCAGATGAAAATGTGAGAATATGCACTCAAACGCATCCTAAATTAAATAATAGAACATAGCTGATAATTTCATACAAATTGTCGTGGTCTGTAAAGTTCTTACCTCAGTGTCTTTTCTATTTGCTCTGGAGTCAAATAAAGATGTTTCATAATTCGTTCTTATTTATTAAAAGGAAGGATAGTTAAAAAAAAATATAAACAATATCTGTCATCATTTAATCACCCTCATGTCATTCCAAACCTGTATGACTTTCTTTCTTCAAAATATCTTATTTTGGGTTTCGCAGAATGTGTGTGTGTGTGTGTGTGTGTGTGTGTGTGTGTGTGTGTGTGTGTGTGTGTAAATGACAATAATACTTAAATTACAATATAATATGTTTCCTAGGCTAATTTAAGTATCATTATCAATACACACACACACACACACACACAGTATATACTTTATTTATATATATATTTACTGTATATACTGTATATTCGTGTGCCTATGTAGGTAGATGAGTAAATACATATATAATTGACAGATATAGTATATATCATGTATATATCACGATTGCAATTATGTTGGTCTTCAACCATACTATCCGCAAATTATTCATTGTTACATTGCATCTGACCTTCCTCTCTCTCTCTCTGCGTCTCTCTCCATCTTTTTGTTCTCTCTGTCAGTTTGACATGCTGCTCGGTGGCCCAGAAACACAGCATGTTATGCCACTCTGTTGCACCGTGTTCAGAGTTGCACCCTGCATCTGAATGTGATGTAAATGATATGATGTGCTGCTCTGTGCTAATTTTTGTTTTGTCACATTTGCTCCTGCTTCCCCTTCAGGGAGGTTTTTGCATTGGACGAAGATGTTGTCAAGATGATACAAAGTATCGTCCAGCTGCTATCTGTTTCCTTAAATCAGTGACGCATCTACTTGACATAAAACTAACTTATGGTAAGAAAATGTTTTTCGGGTCAGAAAGAAGTGTTAAAATTCTCACAGCACATTTATGTAAAAATAGGTCAGCTGTAGTTAAGTGCTGTGTTTACGGTTTATTTGCAGCACCATATGGGGTCAACTGAAGGTCAGTTGATTGCTCATTTTGGAAGGATTGTGTTGTAATTTAGTTGTAAGTGGATGGTAAAATGTAATACATGACATACTATATATAAAAATAATTTTACTTATTAAAAGCTTAAGTGGCTCACACACGCTATATATAAATCATGGGGTCAGTTAAATGTCAACAGTTCATAGGAGTGGAAAGCAGTGAAATATGCAAAGCTTCAATTAGCTCAGGCTCCACTGCAGTCGTGCCTCCATTAGCATGCTACACCTCAAAACACATGCTAAACATACAAGCTAACATATAGAAATGGTCAAGAAAATTTGGTGACAGTTTGCTTTTGCCAAGAAGCGAAGGTCAGTAAACTCCGTGGAGATGAACAATACAGATATGATGGATGTTTCAGGGCGTGAAATTGGAGACTAGCGCTGACCCAGATAACAGCTTGTATGCTCATCAGATCATGTCGTCTGTGTAATCTGCCACTGAGAATGCACATATGCCCAGTTCTTGGAAGGATTGCACGGGGAAGGTTAACTGTAGGCCTACTATGGTGCGTGAATGGCATATTCGCCTGTCATTGGCTTTGAGCAGTGAGCAGTTATATAATTACTAAAAAAATCCCATTTCATTAAATATATTGCAAGTATGACTTAAACTAAAGCACTGCTGGTTCTAAGAGACTGTTGATGAAACTGCAAGCTTTATTATTTTTATTTTCTAAAAGTAAAAAATGACATATCTTGTTGAAATACATTTCCTGACAATTCTTATGCTCACCTCTTTGATTACCTCTGATTATCTGAAGTTTTTGAATATCTGACCTGTATCAGACAGGTCTGTTCATTATAATTTTGTCTGGTAAGACACAGTGTGCATTAAATTATGACAGGCATTTGCTCCTACACAGTAATGTGTGATGTTAATTAACACTGAATTTCAAAAATGTATTCAGATTTGAGAGTTCACACCCAGGTTGCGGACCAGGCTATCAAATCCTGGACCATAAGTCGTCTTAGTTGGATTTGAAAAGATCTGACTTTTTCACACAGCTCAAGATCAGCGTCACATGTCGGGGAAAAACGTTTTATTTTTATTTTTTATTGTTTTTGGGGGAAAAAAGTTTATATTAAAAAGCAATATTATTTTAACTGTTTTTTTTTTGTTTGTTTTTTTAAATGTAATTTATTCTCGTGATGCAATCAGAATTTTCAGCATCATTAGGCCTACTCCAGTCTTCAGTGTCAAATGATCCTTCAGAAATCATTCTAATATCTAGCCTGGTTAAAACCAGACCATTCTCAGTTGTAACTGAGTTATGGTCTGGCAAAGCGTCATAGACAAACTATTTCCAGAGGGGTGTCACCAACGGACGTCGCGGATAGACCTAAAACCAGCCCGTTCTCATCCCAAGGCGTCATATATTGACGCTTTTGCCAAAGCACATGGCACCCTTTAGCGTCAATATGAGACGCAGATATATGGCGCCTCCTAGTGGTCTAACCCTAACACTACCCCAGACCTAAACCTACCCATAACCGAAGCGTGTTATATTGACGCTAAAGGGTGCCATGTGCGTCGGATGTAGGCTTTGGCAAAAGCGTCAGTATATGACGCCTTGGGATGAGAATGCGTTCAATCAGAGCGATGAAGGAAGGAAACGTTCAAATCGCTTAAAACAGACACGATAGCTGATTGGAACGAGTGATGTTCGACGCCGGCATCCATCTTTGTAATGTAGGCTACAAAATCTGCTTCAAAATCCCAGTGCTGTCGTCATCGTGTAAAGCCCGCCCCGACGTTTCTGATTGGTGCCTTTGATTTTGACGGATTGGAAATGGGCTTGAATGAGCTCTTTGCCAGACTAACTTTCAGAGCAAATCTAAATTTGCTGGAAGTTGTCTGGGTTTACCCAGGCTATCTAATATCCTGATTTGGTGCTCAGGAATAATTTCTTATTATTATGATAATGAAAACAGTTGTGCTGCTTATTGTTTTTGTGGAAACCGTGGCTATCAGAGGGATCTGCTCAGACGAAACCCACTAGTCGAGCTTAGAGAGGACTGACAAATGACTCAGGGCTCCCTACATCAGTGTCCGAATGTGGGTCAACTACGGCAGGCTCATGTCCTCCATCATAAACCGCTGAGCCTGAGCGCTGACCTGTGCTTTAGCAGGAGTGACCAAGGCGACCTGAAGCACATCAGAAGCACCTCAATAGCACTGCATGTTCTAACACAGCCCTGCCATGGTAATTGACTCCTGGACTGGGGCAGACAAGTTCCTCTGATGCTGACAAAGAATATTCTGACAAAGGATGTGAATGAGGGACATGGACCTTTGGCAAATAGAGGTTTAAAACGCATTACTGTGAACCATCCTTGAACAAATTGGTTTGAAACTACTGAAGATATTTGGCGCCATCTCGAGGTCAAGCTGAGAAATGCTGCCTGATTGAAAAGATACTTTAGGCACTGCCAGCACATTTATTCCAGGGTGATCTGTAGGTTTGCATATCTATAGATATGTCATACTTATGCATTTATGTATTATATGTTCTTCTTATTTATTAAAAGGAAGGATAGTTAAAAAAAAAGATCTGTCATCATTTAATCACCCTTATGTCATTCTAAACCTGTAGGCCTATGACTCTCTCTGTGTGTGTGTGTGTGTGTGTGTGTGTGTGTGTGTGTGTGTGTGTGTGTGTGTGTGTGTGTGTGTGTGTGTGTGTGTGTGTGTGTGTGTGTGTGTGTGTGTGTGTGTGTGTGTGTGTGTGTGTGTGTGTGTGTGTGTGTGTGTGTGTGTAGAAATAATAAATGTCAAAAGTAGCAGTAGACATTTACAGTGTTCCAAAATATTTCTATTTCAAAGCATTGCTGTACTTTTGAACTTTCTGGCTTTCTGGGAATCAAAGAATTAGGCCTACGTATTTCACAAAATTATTAGATGTTTTCAACATGGAGTAACCTAATATTTTGAAGTAATAATTTTCAACATGGAGCAGTCAGTGAAAGAAAGAAAGAAAGAAAGAAAGAAAGAAAGAAAGAAAGAAAGAAAGAAAGAAAGAAAGAAAGAAAGAAAGAAAGAAAGAAAGAAAGAAAGAAAGAAAGAAAGAAAGAAAGAAAGAAAGAAAGAAAGAAAGCCTATAACCTAGTAACAATTGATGATAAAATGCCATAAAATATGTATATTATCTCCTCGTAAGTGATAGGCAGAAGTGTATCACAACTAGATTACGTCTACAGGTCTCACCTTCTGTCAATTACAACATCCTGTCGTGACACGTAGTAAGAGACTCCGTATTCTCAACCACACCTTACATGATTGAGAGAAACTTTAGGAACCCCATTTGTCAATCCAGATAATCCACTATGTCACTTAACCATTATAGGCTACTTTTTAAATGCCTGACAGGAGATTTTGATTTAGAAACAAAGATGTCATTATCTGCCAAAAGAGCATAGACAGTAAAAGATAATCGTGACGCTCACACAACCACTTATGTAAAAGAAGGCGTGGAGGACTCTCCTTCTTCGAGGTGCTGATTGGCCCGGGGACCTGTCAATCAACACTCGATCCCTTGCCAGCACTATCAAACTCGGTTGCGGTATGAAGTTTCTAAAATGACACTTTGGGATATTTTTGTCGGCACAATGTTGCTGTTTTTGTCTAGAAAGGTGAGTGTTATTCAGATTCACATCAACAACTGGGAAAATTATTCAGTTATATCAGACTTTAACTTCGAAGTTGAAACCGTAAAATTAACGGAATGTGTCGGCTACTGTAACCTTTGTAACGTTAAGTGTTTACTGTACACATACTCCATTTTCTTCTTAACAAATGTAAGGTATGTTTTGTTGATTTTTGTATTGTGTTCTGTGCAATTTGGGAGGGGGAAAAACTTCAGACAATGTTATTTCATGTAACGGTGTTAGACAGTAGGCTGATCCGCTGTTTTTGCGGTTGGTTACGTTAGTTACAGATAATAATAATATAATTTAAGCTCAACTCTGATTTTCCTGAAGTACAAATAGTACCACTGCGTCTAGTAACGTTAGATGTATAATTATGGACAATGATGCACTGTTTTGTTTTGTTTACATTCTGCAGTATGTTTCTAACTTTGTTAGGAACTATTTTTAATATAAAATGAATCTCTGCCTGCTATGATGAACTGACTGCAGATTAGACTGCTGTTTCTCTGCAATGGTTATTCAACTAACATGGCTTTTCAACTATGGGCACTTGTGGTCCTGTAGAAAATAAATTTAATCTCAATCTTAACAACAACACACGTATCACACCCTAAATAGGTTATTTATTTTAGTAATCAATTTCTAACATATACATGCAACACAGGATACATTAATTTTCTGGCAGTCATGAACATTCCCACAATGCTATTTTCAGAGCAATCTAAATAATGTGTTATGTTTAATAGCATTTTGTATTGAAAATAACAGTGATGGAAATTACCCTTTAAATATGAATAAAATGCAACACCTTTGTCTTTATAAGGCTAATTGTATAGCATTATTAAGTTTTATGTATCTTAAATACAGAGAATTAAATAATATTTTCACACCTTTTGCATAATTTGACAAAATTACTGCTTGATTGCAATAAGAATATTCCATTTACAAGTGATATTCTCTTTTTTGGTTTGAGGTTTTGGGACAAGGGTATAAGTATTATTAAATTATATGAAAATATGAAGGTATGGGAAATGTTTCCAATAATGTTTTAATGTGACCTTCATATTAAAAAAAAAGCTAAAATCAATATAAGTATAAATCTCTAATAATAAAAATAACTTATGAGCCATAAAAGTCCAAAAAGAACACCTATACTACCGTCCAAAAGTTTGGGGTTGGTAAGATTTCTTAATCTTTTTGAAAGAAATATTTTAAGGCTGCATTTATTTGATAAAAAATATATAGTAAAAACAGTATTGTGGAAAATTATTGCAATTGTTATTGTTAAAAAAAAAGTTATTTAATTTTTAGCAGCCATTACTCTAGTCTTCAGTGTCACATGATCCTTCAGAAATCATTCTAATATGCTGATTTGGCACTCAAGAAACTTTTTTTTTGGAAACCATAATATTTTTTTCTGTTTCACTATAACTTTTGATCATTTGAATGGATCCTTGCTTAATAAAGTGTTAATTTCTTTTAAAAAAAAATGGAGCGGTAGTGTAAATGTAAGGCCATATTAATTATTTTAGAAATTTGTGTAGTTGCAGTGATGAGGCGTGGAGATCCTCTCCCTCGAGCCTTCCAGGCTCCAGTGGATGTACACGCCAGTGCGGATGGCCAAGTGTACATGTTCAGACACAGACAAGAAGAACCGGAAGCGTCATCTGAGGATGAGGAACTCAATGTCATGGAGCTCCGGCCACGGAGCCGAGATTCATCCTCACAGGAGAGAGAAAGAGTGGGAGAAATGCTTTTGCTAGAACGGGACATTTCCCATGAGGACAATCTCAGCAAACTGGCCCTTCAGTATGGATGCAAGGTATCTAGTTCGATTGTGTAGGTGCTTTTTACATTGTGCAGAATTGTATATGTTGTATGATTTAGGTCCTTAAAAATAATCGTTCTCTATGGTTTCAGGTGGCTGACATAAAAAGAGTGAACAACCTTTTTCAAGAGCAGGACATGTATGCACTGAAGTCCATCAAAATCCCTGTAAAGAAGCATAGTCTGCTAACCGAGGCCAACTCTGAGCTCAGGAATCCCCAGCAAAGACCATCCCACGACGCAGCATCATCAAACAGCGCTGAAGCGAGCCTCTCGGGAAGACCTCAGGTGCAGGAGTTCACCAATTACCTTAAAGAAGTGGACAGTGACATTGAGCGTCTGATCCAAAGCACAGACCCCTCAGAAGAGGTATTTCCGGGTGATTCCAGGGTATCCAGACGATGGGGATGGAGAAGCCAGCACTTGCGCAGCTATGGCGCAGACTGGGGGATCCAGTGGTGGAACGCTGTAGTTGCCATGTTACTCATTGGCATTGTCCTACCAATATTCTATGTGGTATATTTTAAAACTCAAGAGAGTGGTGAATCTGTAGTGGACAATGGAGTGGTCAATATATCTCTGCCTACCTCAAACAGTACAAGGGTGAGCGTCAGCTCAGTGAACCCTGGGAATATAATGGGAAACCATCTTGAGAAAAAGCAAGTATAACAATGGAAAATATTGTATGTTTGTGTAGCCTTATCATTTGGTTTGATGCCTATCATTTTCTTTGGTACTTTGCAGATAAACTTAGTATTACAAGTTGACTACATCTACAAGTCTTTGTAGACACCCATATTATGGTAGATTCACTTAGTGAATTGATGAGCCATAATAAAAAGGTAAGTTTTGGGTTCAAAAGACTAGTATTGCACACTGTTCCAATGTATTTTGTATGAGGTACATTTAAAGAGAAAATGTAACAGATGAGATAGCAAACTAACTGTTAGTCTGCTTACACTCTACACGTTGAAATGGTTGTTATTGGTTTCATGGGTGCTTTTATTTAAATGAATTATGAAATCGTAATAACAGTTTTTCTTTGTGGAGAAAGAAAAGAGCAAAAACCTTTAAAAGTCATTATGAAACATATCTTAGCTTTGCTCATAAAATTGATCATACTATCTAATGCAAAGAAGAAAAAGCAAAAAACTCAAATTTGTATCTATTTTTTTTTGTTTTAATTTTATATTTTATATATGGAAAGGCACTATAGTGCCAGCAGTGCCAAAGAATGGATGTGTATTCAATAACTGTTTGTTTCGTCATTAGAAGTGCAATAAAAACAAGAGCTAAGCTCATGGGCAGATGGACACATTCTGACCTTTGACCTTGCGACATTAAAACTTTTGAATCTGATTTTTCTTAAAGATGTGAATTGCATGGGGATGGCTAGTGGGCGAGTGATTTTAAAAATGTTCAAATAAAAAAACAAGTGGAGAAAAATTTGTATTGGGTTCTAATGGTCTGATAGCTTGTATACTACTATCTAGCCATAGTTGAACAGGGAAAAATGTGTTTTCAAATGACATCTGCAATTCAGCTGTGGAGCTCCTCTATCATTTACTAATAAGAAAACAATTTAAAATGTTCCTTGTGACCCTCTGAGTAATGTTTTGTCTAACGTTGCTTAGGGTCAGGGTTGTAAACACAGAGGAAAAAATGGGCCTGAGACGATTTTCAATTATTTATTTCTACGAAAAGCAGCCTATAATGTTTCATGTAGGATGTTTCATCTTTTGGATTTTGAGTGTTTGAAATCTTAGAAGCTGTACAAACCCAATATACCCAGATTAAAATTTTCACTTATGTGTTACTGTCGACATCACATTTGGAGGCAAAAAGCACTTATATTTGCCATTATTTGTCTACATTTGTGTGCCATTCTCAGAATAATGTAATGATACACGTAGTAGTTTGTAGAAAGCTTAAATAAGCAAAAGTGTTGGAGAGACTGTGATTGTTAAACAGATTCTCCCAGATCGTCCAGCTAAAAATGCATATTAGACAGACGAGGCCATTCTATTTGAATGTACGTCAATAGAGATGTCTCTGCGTGGAATAGCATTCTTTTGTGTGACTGGGTGATCTTCAACATGTTCTGCATTAGCCTACATTCATTCTGGAGAATAGAAAATTATTTATGGGTTGGCACGAAGACTGGGAGGGGTGGCAACAACAAAGCAAACAAGCATTCAATCAATTCTATAATACAAATAGTCACAATGTAGTCATCAGAGTCCAAGCACCAATGGCCCATGTGGATGATTAGCGCTCCAACTGAAATGAATCTTACGATGTGGTTTTTGCAGACAAGTCCAACTTGAATCTTCACAGAAAGAAAAATAAAGTATTGAGCAAAAAAAATAAAAAGTTGTTTTGTAAACAAAAATAAAGAATTGCAAAAGAAAAATAAAGTATCGAGAGAACAAAAGTTGTTTTACAAAAAAAAAAAAAAAGAATTGCAAAAGAAAAATAAAGTGGAAAAATAAAATAAAAATTTATTCTGAATTTGAGTCAAGTGTGCTCGCGATACCGTTTTTCATGTGCGCTTCACTTTTCTGTGCATTTCTCTTATGGCACTGTTTTGACGTGGGGGTGGAGTCAAGAAACTGGGGCGTGTTCAGCATAATGTTTGTCTTCCAAAAAATGTCAATAGATTCTACCTAACTCTAGTCTACTATTAGTTTTCGTGATGGCTGCTGGTTGGTTTCAAATCCGCGCGCCGATGATGACGAGGCAAGTATGTCACGTAAAGTTCTTTAGTGCGCTCGCATAATTGCAGTGTGAAAAAAAAAAAAAAAAAAAACTTTCTGAAAGTATAAAATGTAGGCTATCAAACCGTGAACTTTGATTCGGACCTTGGTGCGGACTTTCAGGTGTGAAAACGCCTATCATATTTTAACAACTAGTTTTAGAGGAACTGGCTAGCAAACATGTTTGGGCCTTATAGCAGTGAATAGGCCACCAACAAATTGTCTCTGCCCAGGCATTTGATTATAATTAACATGACAATGTGTACAAAACTACAGTAGCCTAAATTCGCGTTTATTTTTACGTTTCTGTCTGAGGTGTGTGTCTTGCTTCGGTCTTGACCTGAACGGGTCAGTCTCCGTTTTCGAGGGTCTAAAAACCCCGGAGTAGGCTATAGTGTGTGGACGGCGGCAGACATAACCGTATAGCAAAAGTTATGCGTTTTAAAATTAAAATTCATTAGTGTAAACGTATGTATCCCACAGTCTGCTCGGGAACCGTATGTTCTCGAGCCAAATATGGTTCTTTCAGTGAGTATGTATGGCTCGACGTCAGGAAAAAAATAAACCAAACAATTTGTAAACTTTTTTTTTTCAATAATAAAAGGTTGTGTGTCAATTCAATTTAAAATCCACATATTTTAAAATATTACATAATTCACTGAAGCCTGTTTGTCATGTACACCAATCGTCATCTGACATCTGGCACAAGAAGTTCAAATTTCATTGGACAATGTGAAGTGGAGCGGTAATTTTCCGGTCATTTATAAATAAATCGTTTGAAAATTACATGCACAGACGAATTTACATTTATGAAGCATTTGAATCTGCGTTATTGAACTAATGGATGTTAATTAACTACAAAGCACTGCACAAAAGATGCATTAGTAGGCTAAGTAGGCTATAGTATTCAAGTCACTTTTATATTGATACACTGTTTACCATTTGATGAAACTATAGTTTGTTAAATGAAGACCAGACCTACAGGCCTATTATGTGAAGTGTAGGCTGATAACAACACGCCAAATGGTGACTTTATTATTAGAATTTTTTTTTTATAATTTTGCAGCAATAGTATAGAACAGAACAGTACTACTGGTAAAAAATTTACACACATTACATTTTTTTTTTTTTTTTTAAGAAGTCTCTTATGCACATCAAACATGCATTTATTTGATCAATAGTTTTATATTTTAATATACTTTTTAATATAATTTATTTATGTGTTGCAAAGCATATATATATATATATATATATATATATATATATATATATATATATATATATATATATATATATATATATATATATATATATATATATATATATATATATATATATATGTATGTATGTATGTATGTATGTGCCCCTTTTTTACATTTGAGCCCCTGCCCCTGAGGAACTCTGCACGTCCCTGTCTCTGCCCACAGCAGCGATTTTTCCGTACATCATGGTACATGTGTTTCCAATCTTTTTGCACTTATAAATCTTTTTTCATTTTCCTGATTTCTTTCTCTTTCCACATTAGTGTGAACCATTATTATTATTGAGATGTAGTTTTAAATTATATTAGTTTGTTATTTTAGTAGCCTACATCAAGTTGATGAAAAAAGTTCCCATTGCAGCTACTAAAATACAATTAATTAAAGTTATTTAAAATAAGTTTTTATTTCAGGTAACATTTTTAATGGTTTTAGTTATATATAATATCCCCAGTGCTTTTTCACTATTTAGCCATTAAAAAAAAAAAATCTGGAATTCTGAAATTAATTTTATTAATTTTCTGAAATGTCCAAAAACTATTCGAATGGCTTTTCCAGATTGCGGGAACAAAACAATTCAGTTTTTGTTCATATCAATAGAAGACTTCAGGTTGGCAATATCAAATACGAAATAAAATTGAAATTGATATTTTTTATTTGTTCAAATGTGCTACTTTTATGAAGTATCCATAGTGAAACAGTCAACAAGGGTTTGCGTTTATTGCGTTAAAAATCAAAAGAACAGGAAGGAAAAATGGAATTGATAGCGTTTGTTCAACAGCTGCTTAGACTAAGTCCCATGTGAACCTGAAAGCTTGATCTCACAGAAACAGGCGCTGCTGTGATCCTGCTCCAGGCCCCACAGCTTTGGCCCCGTGCCTTCTCTCCGTCTGTGTCTCGGCGGCTGCAGCACAGACTGGGCCCGAGAGGACCACCCCTTTCTTTGTCTGCAAACCCAAACCGCAGTTATTACGCAAACCTTAACACTCCCGGAGCAAGTTCTGATGTGATCTGTTTAATTTCTGCATGATCCAAGGAATATTATCTCAATTTTTGAATGCTGGTTAGATTTACAGTATAATACAGACAGACTTGCAATAATTGAAAAGGCTGAGAACCTCCCTTTGTGTGTATTCTGAGTGTTTCACAGTCCTGAAAAAATCCGTAAATGTATTAAAAACATGCTTACACTCTTAAAAATAAAGATTATTTTTTTTGGCACATGGTTTAATGGAGAACCTTTAACATCCATGGAATCTTTCCATTGGGCAAAAGCTTCTTTCTAGAGGAAAAGGGTTCTTTAGATTATAAAAAGTTCTTTAAAAAATAACTTTTTTTGTTGTTGAAGAAACTGTTTTTTTTTTACCTAAATTTTTTAAGTCTAGAATATCTGATTGGCGTAGATAAATGCACACCAGGCCTATACGAGGAATCTTGTTTTGAAGGGTCTGAAATAGGATCAAGTAGGCCCAGCCATTTGTGTCCGTGTTGTGCTTTGTTTTCTTATGGTCGATCATGTGTACTTGTGAGACAAATCAGTCAATCTGACGCATGCATTGAGTAAAAAACAGTGAAGAGATTCAAGCTCTGTGGCTTTAAAGACTTCGCTCACTTGTGCGGTTGGCAGAATGCCACAAAACAGCCCTAATCTTTTTTCCAAAGAGCTTTCAACACTCATCTTCCTGGCAGTTTTGCCTCAAACTCATTCGTCTGCTAATAAATGAGCTGGTTTGATGGTATTGTGTGCGATGTCCACCAGAGGGCAGCCTTATCCTAAAATTGCAGATAAAATGAAAGCATGCAGTTGATTGCTATTTACAGTACAGTACACCTTAGGTATTGCTTTCAT